TCAGAAAGTCTCGGAGGAAGAGCGGCTGCCTCGTTGCATCAGATTTCTGGAATGCTCTGAATTACTGGTTTAGAAAGCAATTTTAGAAAGCAATTTGAATTGGACAGAGTCTGGTTGCAGCTGGAGTAAGTCAGCTGAGAGCCCCACAGCGCTGCAGTCTCTAAACCCCTGCCCTGTCACTAATACAATGGTTTCTTTGAAAGATTAAATAGACCTTCCAGGGCTTCCTGCCAAGTGTTCATTGGGCAAGTCTACTCCGATTCATCTGCCATGCCTGTGGAGCTCCCAGCTTCTGGTGACGCTGCTTTCCTAAACCATTCAGTAGCCTTTGCTGTATTTCACCTGGTTGTGGGGTCTGCGCTGGATGGACCAGACTTACTCCTGGTGCCGCCTGCTGATACTGATGGCACGGTACTGGGATTAAACTTGGTCCGGGTGTCACTATGTGTGTGCGCATCACGGTGTTTTTTTTTTAAGATGCTGATCTGTTTGCTCTCCTGCTGGGGTATGAAACGTTCATTGACGTTTGGAAAGTTCCTTATGTGGATCTAAAAGGCATTTACTGGTCTAGGGCTGGGGATCTGTATTGAAGGAGCTGTCAAAACCCCACCAGTAACTGCCTTGGTACTGGATTGTCTGTCTTGTTCTTTGGAAATCGGAGGGTTTTTTTCCCCTGGGTTTGGAGTAGGGAAAAGTTTCTCTGGTTTGAAGCAGCTGTTGGCTCCCACAGCCCCTTCCTGGCCCCGTAGTTGTGTGAAGAGTTGCTTGTCAGGACCGGTCTCCTGGGAACCACTGATATCCACAGACAAGAGTCCGAGCTGTGGCATTTGTTTTTTCACCCCATCCCGCACGTGCATTTGGATGTAGACAGCGCTCGTAACCCTCATTCAGTAGAGGAGTCAAGTTTTCAACAGCTGAGCTGCCCCTGCCCCGTCCCTTCACCCAACACGATGTGCCTGGGAGCTGGGTGAGACTCCTGCCCCACATCAGTTGTTTGTTCCTCAGGGATTCAGCTTCCCTGCATCTCTTACAAACCCATTCTAGCAAGAAGCCAGAGTGAAAGTCGTAGTGCTGCATCCTCCAGGTAAGTTCTCCGTGTGGACGAACCAGGCAGTTGCTGGGGCTGGAGCTCTCCTGGCACCTTCAGCCATGCATGAAGTTCAGCCCCTGCTGCAGAGCCTGCCAGTGCACCTGACGGTGACGGGTTCGTGCTAAATGAGAGGGGTTTGGGGGTTGTTTTTCATTTAGCTTGGTTTTCCCTGAGCAAGTTTGCTTTCTCAGCAGGTAGAGCATGTGTAGCAGCAGCACCAGCACCCCGCCTTCAAGCTGAGCACTGCTTGTGAGGCCAGGGCCCTCCTTATGGAGCCCCCACCATGTGCCGTGAGCCAGGAATGGCTTGGGGGTTTGTCCCATCTCTTGCATGTCTCTAGAAGCTGATCACTTTTTTTTTTTTAAGGAATGTCTGAAAAAGATATAAGCAGAGCTGCTGGCTACCGGATCTCTTGCAATATTTGCTATATCTCCTCAGGTCCCTGCCGTTGAGACCTTGGGGTCCTCCCTCCTGTGGTCCTCTCTGATGTAAACATGTAGTGTTTTAACTGCAGAGTGAAAAATGAAAGAAGCTCTTCCCTTCCCCAAGAGCCCCAGAGCATTATCCAAGTGAAGGCTCAACTTGAAATTAAATTACTTCCCTTTATTTAAGAAAGCCCAGATCTTCTGGGGCCTCTCTTGGTGATGCTCCAGCAGGGATGGCAGCATGCACATGGTGATTTATTGCTATCACTGAATAGTGCTTAAGCGACTGGGGAATCTAAGATCGTTTTTGGAGCCTCACAGATTGCACTGTTTGGATAGTTCTGGCAATTCATGTGTCCCAAACTTGGACCTTAGTGCCTGAAGCTCATGGAATGTGTAGTTGGAGTGCTGCCTGCAGCAGTTAGAGGTGAAACAGGGAATGAAAGTCAGCTTCATATATAATTCCTGAGCTGAGAAAGCTGCAAGCCAGGCTCAAGGTCTTCTTCGGTGAGCTGTCACTGCAGCAGGCAGCTTTTCTTAATTCAAAGCTTTCAAAGAGTGTTCGAGAGACACATTCAGTTCCCACTTGGCCTGAAATTACACATGAAGTCTCCACAAAATTCCAGTGAATGGAGCAAAGCTTGAAATGCTGATGATGTGGCACAGGGAGTGTGAAGCTGACTTTGTCAGGGTTTTTGCTTTGATCAAAGAGATGTTCTGGTGTAAGCAAGACCTAAAACTGTTCTCGACATTCATTACCGCAGTAGCTGTAAGGACTGAGACAAAGGGAACTTCTAAATGACATTTTAAGTTAACAGTCATCTTAGGAGTGAAAATAGCCAAATAAAAAAACAGTCAAATAATAAATAATAAAACAAATAATAAAAATAATAAAAATAACAAATAATAAAACAGTCAAATAGCCCGGACTCAGGAATAACCTAGTGTAGGCATGAAGGGAGGGAAGGAGAAGGGAAGGTGTTTGCAACAAGGACACAGGCTTCCAAGGCGAGATAGAAGGTGGACCCTTTGATTTTTTTCTACTCTGTTGATCTCTAAGAAATGCTTCTTGAATCTTCCAGGAGCACCTTCTGCGCAATCATTTCTCAGCTGACGGAGGAAACCCAGCCACTATTTGAAACCACTATCAAATCCCGGTCTGTGTCTGAGGACTGTGATGCTAAATTCACGTGCATAGTGACAGGTAACAGCGACTTCAGTGAATAACCCGGTCCTGCCTCACTTGCCGGACTTGTGCTAGTTAAACTCTGGAGCAATCAGTAACAAGGCAACACTTTAGGAGTTGTCAGACTGCCAAGTAAAGATTCAGCAATTGCATGATGATTCCAGCTTTAATTTAAAGAGGGGAGGGGAAACACCTAAGATTGCAAAGAGGCGAAGGCATAGCCTAACATCTTGAGGCAAATTAAACACCAGAAAATGGAATAAACTACATTTTATTGTCCTAATCTTGGCTTCTTCTCTAATCCTGGACTCCTTAACTCAGGCATGTGCAGTTTCGAAGGCTGAGGCGGCTGTCACACTGGAGTCAATCCTAGCTCTCTTTGCTGGCTGTAAATGGTTGGAGCGCAGTTGCCTTTGCAGCAGTGATAAACTTGTGTGTCTGCCCGCATCTGAGATAATAAAAGCCGGTTTCTGCCCAGCGAGCTAGAATCTAACCTTGGGCAGGAAGGGGTTACGCCAACAGGAGGAGGAGGGGGAGGTTGAAAAAGAGGGCTGGGGCTAAGGCCTTGTGATGATGTAGCCTGGCAGCATTGGTGGAGAGGCTCCTTTGCTGGTGAGCTTTTGTCCTTTAAAAATAGAGACTCTAAACCCTCTTTTTTTTCAGTAGCATGTACTTCCTCACCACTTGTTCACTGCTCTTCTATCCTGATGTTTTGCACGTTAACTTTTCCTACAGGTGAGAGGGGTTAAACAAGATTGTAAGTTTTGGAAGGAGGAGGGTATCTCCAGTGAGCCTCTTAGTCGCAAGGACCAAGAATTTGCTAAGACTTAGAAAATTTCGTTTGCCATTAGAAACACACTGTCAGTAAGCTGTGCTGCAGGAAATGCAGACTGAGCTGACAGCTGACAGCTTTAAATTTTTGGCTTTTCTCTTACGGATTTACTTATTTTTGCAGGATTGACTTTCTGAAGTCGAAGGGGTACAACCAATAGATTGATTTTATTGGTGCTTAACTTCAGCAGACTGCTCCCTGCTTCTCGGGCAAAAGCAAGCCACTAGGGAGATGCCTCCAAACCGTGCCCTTCAGTGATTCCTTAGAAGGGCTTTCCCAATTAAAAGTTTTCAAAAAGCAAAAGCTTGACATGTTATGCAGTAGCATGGAACTCACTATTCTGCAAGCCAAGAGTGTCAGGGGTCAAAGAAGAGTGATGTTTGGATGTGTTAGGAGGTTAAAAAAACCCCACAAATTAAAAAAGCAGAGACAATTCTTTCTTCCCCTTCCCCTTGCCTGAAAGTCTAGAAGTCCTGCAGACTCTGACCACTTGCTGCAAGGACATTTCAGGATTTCTTGCTCCTTTTAAAGTGCCTAATGCTGGCTTTTCTCACTGTCTTGAACCTTCACCAGCTGCACTTTGAGCTCGACAGTTCCCTCTAACAAACTTCAAGCTCTTTCCAAAGGTCCAGATGATATCATCTGCTCCACGTTGGCCACGTCAAGGTGAGCTTTAAGTTCACCCTGACACTAGGCAGATAAAAGGGTGGTAAGTGCCCTGCACATGCAATGCCCAGCACGCTCTGTTTCCTCTCAAGAGCAATGGGGAAGAGATACTTCAGTCAGCCATACCCAGGAGGCCTTGTAAATGTTTTTGACCTTTCCAGCATCTGACCTGGAAAAGCTAGAGAAGACCTTCACTGTATATTATGCAGGAGACATGCTGCCAAGGAATACTCTCCTCTGTTCGTACCAAAATTGAAGTATCGATGTCTAGAGACAGATATGGTCTCTGTCCAGCCCGTAGTCCTTCCTGCAGTCTGTCCTTGCTCTTGGTAGGTAGGATGGTGCCTTCCAGTTTTGGATGACCTGCTGGTGCCATGTCACACAGCCTGGTGTATTACACCAAGTTGAAAACTTGACCTGCTACTGGACTCATTTTCTACTCAAGTCAAGGATGAGCACTTTCAGCATGTAGCCTACTGCAATATTTTTGTATCTGCTAAGCTAGATTGGGGGATGTCTTTGCGCACTTAAATTAACAAACGTAAAAAATCGGGAATTTTCCTGTAGTTCAGATATCTCCTGCCATGATGTTTACATGCAACTGGGAGATGTTATGGGGAGAAGGAAGTGGCGGCTGCATCCCTGGCTGGTGACCAGAGGGGAACCAGCTTGGTCCCACTTGCTGTGGCTGGAGTCCAGGGACACTTTGGCTCATAGACTTGTGAGAGGCAAAGGGCAGACTGTCAGCTGCTCCTGTTTTGACTCTCAAGCCACAAATACTGATGCATGACCTACAATAACACCTTATTTTTTTATCTTTGTTTTGATTTGTTTTGTTTTTTCCCTGCTCCTTGACCAATGATGAAAGTCACAGGCAGTCCCATATCTGTGAACACTAGTGACTTGCTGGGCATGTTCTAGGAAGGCAGTGAGATGCAAGTGTTTGAGGAGCCTCCAAAACATGCTGGATGGTGCAGGCAAGGAAAAAAACAAGTAAGGCAGAGGCAGAATTCCTTGGGTGACTGCACAAGTCCTCCTTTCCTCCTGTTTTGCCTGCTATCAGTGTCCTCATATGTCTGGTTTGATTGTTTTGGGTCAAACTCTGCATCAGTTATGACATGTTTCTTTTCTAGACAAAATTAGTTCATCCTTTGTTCTCTGAGAGAGGTGAAGAAAGGAACGAGAACGTTTCCATTTACTGTGCAGTTTCTTACGGAGCAACATGTACCCCATTTCTGTGCACCAGCTGTTTTCCTTGGTGGGTCTGTCTGGACTTCAGGGTCTCAGAGTCATCACAGATGCTTCCCAGCGAGCGGATATTGGGCTCTGCTCTTCTCTTCAGAGAGTGGCCCTTATCGGAGGTGGTGTTACAAGGATTTACAACTTGTTGGTCATTTCTGCAGAGCATTGCCTGGGGAGGAGACACGCTGGCTGGTGAAATGTGGGGGTTTGGATGAAGGGACCTGGCTCTGTGACTGCTTGTTAGGGAATGAGGCCAACCAGAAGAGGTGATGAACCTGAGGCAGGTTGAACCCCTCCGACCAGGCTACCAGGAGCTCAGTGTCATCACTCCTTCATGGGTCAGCAAGGATTTTAATAAACACGAAGGAGTTCAGCTTGTTCCATCTAAGGTGACCCTCTTTGGGAAACATTAGAAGGATGAGAGCGAAGTGCTTGGATGAAGGACGTGTGGAGAGATGCAGGGGCTGCAAGAGGGGCAGATGGGTGTGTTTGGGGATGAGGTAGTGGGTACGAGAGCAGCGAGTAGGTAGGCTGGTGGGAGATGAAGATGCTCGGGTTTGGGGCAGCCAATGCAAGAGAGGGATGATGAGTACTGCTTACAGACCGGTGGCATGGGGAACTGCTGCTTTTTGTGAGTATCTATCCCTCAGCATTATGGGAAGCCTCCTTGTCTTCAGGTGATGGGAAGGTTTACATGCATAAACTCAGAAAAGATGAGATCTTACCATGACTTTGCCTCCCAAAACTCCCTGAAGCCCCCACTCCACACAGCTCAAACAGAAGACCATGAGGATGCTATGTCATGGTTCTAAACTCTTTCCACCTTCCCAAGTTTTAGAAGACCAACCTCCCTCAGAAAAAAAAAAAAAAGAAAGAAAAAGGAAATTGCTTTAAACAGAATTTCTCTGGATAACTATTTCAGGAATTGTTTTGGTTAAGGTCACCGAAGCTTCAAAGACTTCTCAGAATTTAACAGCTTTGGGAAAAAGAATGTTTGATCTAAACCTGGCGACCTCTGTGGAAAGAAAACATCCTTGCTCAGAAAAATCTCCTGGGTCCTGCAGTGGCTGGCCATTGTGGTGGAGCAATGCTGTTGGCAGACATGCTTCCCAAAAAGCTTTTTCTGATCTCGGACCCTCACAGCGGGTGCCAGCCCCTCCTCCCCGGGGACAGCCAGCATCACTCCGCAGCCGCCAGGCACTAACTGCTGGACACCAGGGACCGGCCGCCAGCATTGCCTTCTCGGCATAGAGTGGGTCCACAGAAGGGTGACAGGTTTCAGAAAGGGCAAGCGCCTGATTTATGAATCGCTGCTTTTATTGCCTGATTTAGGAATTTATTATTTGCTCATCAGTCTGAAGACGAATGCCTGTGGTGTCAGCAGCAGCAGCTCCCCAACGCAGCGTGCCAGGGAGCCTTGCCCTTACACACACACCTTTCCATCCCCTACTTGGCTCCAGTTACAGCCCCCAGAGAGGGACAGGGTGTTGGAACAGGTGGCCGAGGCCACAGTTTCTGCATGGGAGGTGGGAAACCTTTTAGCATCCCTCTGCGTTTCCAGTCAGCACGTGCCTGTAGCTCCCTTTGGCTGCAGGCTGAAGCTTGCAGTGGAGGGCTAGTCCCTCCTCGCCTGCGCTGGGCTAGTACAGCAGTAGCCCCTGGTAGGGAGGAGTTAGCTTGAAGGACACAAAAGTGCTACAGGTCAAAGGGAGTTGAGGCTTAATGGGAGGAAAAGCTTCTTGTTGGCACACTGCACAGCAGTGAAAATCACAGCTCTTTCCGGCAGATGTCAGCTGGGAACAGGGATCAGCTGCAGAGGCCACGGGGGGACATTGCAGGGCTTCTCGGAAATGATATGCTTGCAGTTCCCAGAATGAAGTTTCACGATTGCTCTTTGCAAGGTATTAGGAAAATCTACCTGCCAGCTCCCCACGTTATGAACCACGGAGGCCCCCTGAAGGTCTCGCCTGCAGAATGGCCCTTGGGAAGGATTGAGCTGTGTGAGAAAATCGTTTTGTTCCTCATCTCTAGAGCAGAAAGAAAATGCCACGGACTCATTCAGCCCAGAGTTCTGCTGCCCAGTGCCATCAGTAACTGATATTTATGGAAAGTATAAGGAGCAGCAAGTCCCTTGTTATCCCATCACTGGGATGCTCTTATGGCCTCCTCCAGATAGCAGTTTAGGGCTCGTTTGCTTCAGCCGCAAGCATCTGAGGGCTTCTTCTAGAAACTGGTTTGGATGGGCAGAGCAGTGGCAAAGAGCAGACCATGGCAAGGTGGGGACCAAAGGAGAGGATAAAGAGCCTTCTAGGAGAGGCTTCAGGAGAAATTCATGACGTGGCTTCCTGCATAAGAAGAGGATTTGGCCTATGCTGCTTCTCTGGTCAAAGGCATTTTGAATTGG